GAGACACACACACCACCTACCACCACCACACACACACACACACACACACACACACTCCCGTACACCTCCCTCACACGGGGTAGGGGGAACGGGGGTGACTGACCTACCCGGCACTCTCCGCTCTACATGCCTGGCTGGGCCCCTGGGACTGACCCGCCTCTACTGGTACCTGGCGCTGTGTCTTTCCGAGGCAGCACATGGGGCGGGCACGCAAGGCCACATGCCCCCTCCTCCCAGATTTCTCCCAGGATTCACACCAGAATGTGGCCAGCAGAAGGCTTTCGGCACTGTGTGGGAGGGAAGGGATGGGAGCTGCTTCCAGCCACAGGGGCGGAGGAGTGGGGGAAGGGATGACCTGGCACATGTCTTTGCAGAGCTCATCTCCCCTTTCCCCTCCTCCCCCCACCCCCATGTGGCTGGAAACAGCTTGTCCCTTCCTGCCTGCACAGGGTCAAAAGGCAGCTAACACTTCCAGGCTGCTGCTGGCCACCTACATAACTCAGCTACCTCTGGCTACAGTGCAGGCAGGAAGGGGTTAAGCCCTCAGGATGTATTGTACGCCAGGGCCCAGGGAACCTGACTGCAGGGGCTTCAGCGAACTCAGCCAGAGAGGTGGCTCAGCAGGGGAGGGTGCCTAGGGGATGGAGCAGACCCGTGCTCTCTGGAGGCAGGACCCAGGGCGGGGGGGGGTGGTGTGAAGAGGGTGCCCCAGGGGCTGCTTTGGAGGCTGCAGGTTCGGGGCAGGAACAGGCTGGAAATCGCTCCCACACACACACCACTCTAGAACTTAGCTATAGGGCAGAGAGGCTTCCCCATGCCAGTGCTGGGCGGGGCTTTGGCACATGCGCACAGGCCAGAGGGTCTTGGGTTTTCCCCAGGTGCCAGCTCAGCCATAGGCAGTGGGGAAAAGAAGGAGCCTGTTGGTGAGTGGGACGTGCCCTGCTGGGTGGGATATGGAGGAGCAACAGGACTGGGAGGGGGGGGTGAAGGGGCAAAGCAAGGAGAGGACAGAGAGAGGGGGAGCACGTAAAGGGACGATGGGTGGGCAGCAGAGGAGACATAACTGGCCGCCGCTTGGTGCCTGCCCACACTCACCAATCACTGCAGCACGCAGCCAGCCCCATCCGGAAATGGGACAGGGGATGAGCGCCCTGCTGGCCGAGAGCTGGCACACAGCGGGGGTTGCATTGACAGACCAGCAGAGGAAGCGGTCAGCCCTGTGCGTTGCATCTTTGCTCCGCCACCAGCCCCCTTGCACACCCACCCCAACACCAGCCACTGGACCCTCCCACT